GAAGTTTCCCATTTTATTAGGATGCAAAGCAACACAAAAAGTCTTGCTAAATTCATCAAAGACAGACAGTATCATGAACAAAGTTTAGTACAAAAAGGATTTTTAATTTCAATAGCTGCGGTGTGTTCCACATGCTAAAGCTTATATTATGTAACAGCCTCAGGATCAAGTCTCCCATTCAGTAAGTGTAAAGCTGTCACAGCCTGCTTGCCAACATGAGCAGTGCATTGCAACTTTTGGAAACAACAGAGGGAGTTGTAGTTAAGGTCCTCAGCTGGACATAACCTCTCCCTGGCTACTGCTGCCCCCTGCTATATTATGAGTTGTTTCCGTTGGTTAAAAACAACTTATTACTTCTCAGTGTGGAGCAACATGGTTCATATGACTTCTGAAAGCAGTCTTAAATCACATTAAAAAGTTACAGATCATCTGTGTTGAAATGCTGTGTTGAAATGCAACCTCCCTGCCATGAGCAGAACACCTTCCACTAGACTGGGTTGCTCAAACCCCCATCCAACCTGGCCTTGAATTTTTCCAGGCAGAGGGCATATACCACCTCTCTTGGCAAAATGACCCTGTGCAGACACCAGCCCTGAGCCTTCAGCCTTACATTCATACATCTGTGAGTCAAAACAATAAAAGGAAAAGAAATCATAATGCAAAGCTAGTTGGCATAAATAAAATAAATAAAGGAGTTTAGGCAAGGCTCTAATCAGAGAATTTCCTACCCAGGTTTTGAGCAGAAAGAATAAAATGATGGGAGAGACTTATAGCCAAATCATTAAACCAGACAGTGTATTTCTCAGAACACACTCCCACTCTACTCTTTAGGGAAGTAGAGGGAAGTAATTCTTCATAAAGTCAGGCCTCACTGAAAGCATCCCATCCTAATTCCATCAGACTTGGAATAATCAAAACACTAGAGAAACTTTGCATATTTGATGATACTGCCATTTTCTGACAGATTTCCTTTATGCTTCTAGAAGAGCAGAGTAATCAGAAAAGTAACAGGAAAAACTTGTTCTGAGCACACCAGCTGTCCTGCAACTCCTACAAAAGGAGTTCAGTGACAGAAGCAAACCCAAGTACAACACATGAAACAGCAGCTGGTGTCCAAGTGCCTGCAAACCCATCACATGTAGTGCAACTGTATGTCCAAGAAGAACACATTATCTTGTGTTTAGCAGTGTATTCCAAGATTCTCCTTGAACAGGTTCAAGCAACTTCCTTTACAAGCTTATTTGTACAAATAGTTATTTGTTGTGGCTACAGAACAAGCCCACATATGAAGGCCTATCCACTGTCCTTAAAATCAGAAGATTAAGACTTACTCATGAACTGCATATATGAAGAGGGTATCTGTAAAGATGACAGAAAGCCTTTGGAAGAAGACAGTTGCACGACTGGTGTAATTCAAGTTTTCAACAACCAACATCTGGGGGTCAAAGTACTTGGCAATGTGAGAAAGTACATATTCGAACCAAGCAAAAAATGGTGGATAATCCAGGGTCCATTCCGAGGTCGCCTAAAGACAAAATAAGATGAAATAGTTGATAACAAACCAGGCTGTGTGCAGTCCTTCAGGTACAGCTCACTGCAGCAAGCCAGCCACTGCATTTTCTCTCAGTACCCTCTCTAACTCAAACACTCCACAATCAGTAGCCACTCTGTGGTGCTGTAAGCTGTTCTCCTGCAGTACTGGTACAGATGTGACATTTCCTGATCAGCAGGAAAAGATTAAAGAGCCTCTTGTGCACCTGCACCAGTATATAACTGTTTGTTATCTCTAAATCTATTTACAGTAATAGGGCCATTATTACAAAATCTCAGTAAAACAGCTCAGAGCCAGTATCTGTCTATTTGGAGTGATCGCCAACACAACCAGTTTCAAAATTACTTTCACTCATCAGTTAAGAAGCCTTAACTCTCCCACAACCATATCATGACCAAATGGCATTATGTGATCTCTTCCCATAAGGACAGCTGCCATGCCCTGACCAAGAATTAACTCCTTGGCTGTGGAAACAGGAGAGGAAGAGGCATGAACAGAGCAGGCTGGGATGGGGTAAATTTTTCAGTGAGCATGATCCCAAATGCTTATGCTGCATTGTTGAAAGGCATCCTCTGTTCTGGCACAGGGTTAATGCTGGCATTATAAAAATTTGTTTGTAAAACAGTCCTTGGATCAGTCCTACAAAGTTCTAACATGCACAAATCTTTACTTCTGGATGTTTATGTGGAGTACTAGACACTACAGCATCTATCTGTCCCTGTACTCCACCAGATATCAGGGGACAAATTAAAACCCAACTAGGTAGGCTGAGTCTACGGCAAACCTAAAGGTGTTTTGCCTAGATAAAAATCAATGCATGCTACTAGCACACCAGCAAAGCTCAAAACTTTAATACAGTGATTGATTTCATAATGGAAAGATGTATATACCCATTAGCATGACTCACTCTTTATTCTGGTAACTGTGTATCACCAATGAGAAGAGCACAGACACCGGCAATTTAAGAGTACAAGGCAACTTGCTCTGGTGCTACACAGCCTCTCCAATAAGTGCCTTAATTGCTTTTCCCATTTTGCCCTCATAAGTACTTGCAGCTTCCCCAGCTAACTTTCATGTTTTAGCTAAATGCTACACAAGGCCAGCAAATTGTAACTGGCATCTTTTTGTCCCACTATATGACAGTCACCTACCATCCCTTCCAGCATTCACAAGGTCTGTCATACCACTGTACTTGTAATTCATACACAGCTAAAACACACCCCAAACATGTCCTTACCTCATAGTACCACTGAGAGAGGGGCAAGTTGTGAGTGATGGCAAGCCAGTTCCTATGGACTTCGAAATCTGTGGAGTAACTACAGAAGGTCCATGTTAAGAGTCACATACGTGCATGCACAAAGGGAAAAATTTCTGAGCACATCACCACATGCAGACAAGAAGGAAGCCACTCTATTTATCAGCTCTAGGACGCTACTGTGATCAAGTAACAACGATGCTGCTGAAGAACTCTGTGCCAAAGACGTATCATAGAATGGTTTGGGTTGAGAGAGACCCTAAAGACCATCTTGCTCCAACCACCCTGCCATGGGCAGGAGCACCTTCCACCAGACTAGGTTTCTCAAAGCCCCACCCAGACTGGCCTAGAACCCTTCCAGGGATGGGGTATGCATGGATTCCCTAGGCAGCCTCTGCCAGTGTCTCACCAACCTCACAGTAAAGCTTTTTCTCCTGACATCTGATCTAAATCTCCCATTTTATTTAGTTTAAAACCATTCCTCCTGGCCATGTAAAAAGTCACTAATACAGGTACTTATAGCGCAAGAACTACTTAGAGCTTGGCTTTTTAGGACTACTAATGCGAAATTCCAGGCTCCAACTGAAAAGTTTAACAGCAATCTGTTAGGAGTTTTTCTCAGCATAAAAACTTGAAAATACAAAGCATTAATGTTTCAGCACACTTTCAGCCTTTCCGAGCAGCAGCCAGCCGGAACGGGCCAGCAGGGCTTCCAAAGAGGAAAGGAAAGCTGTGCCACGCGGCGGAGGCGGCGCCGCCTCGCTTCTCTCACGAACCCAGGTGCCACATGGACCTTCAGGGCCTCCTCAGGACCGGGGCACCACGCTGCCCGCGGCCGGCCGCACTCGGGGGTTCGCGGCAGTCCCGTCCCATGCCACCCGCCCCCGTCCCGTCCCGTCCCGTCCCGTCCCGTCCCGTCCCGTCAGGAAGCTCCTTACTAGGCGGGGATGAGGAGGCACTTGAGGAAAGACACGCCGAGCGCCAGCGCCCGGAACCAGCCGCGGCCGCCCGCCGCCATGGCGCGCGCCCCCTACCCCGCGCATGCGCCGCGCCCGCCGGTTTGAAGCGCGCGCGCCCGCCGCGCTCGCGGCGTCGGGAGCGGGGCTGCGGCTGCGCGTGCGCGGGGAGGGCGGGGCTCCGTGAGGCGCCGGAACGGGCGCGGGGGGGAAGGGAGGGAATTTAGGTTGGGTATCAGAAATTCTTTGCTGTGAAGGTGATGAGGCACTGGCACAGGAAACGGTTAATGATTAGCCTGCACGAACACAGATAAAGAATGCAACAAGAGAACCCCTGAGACCAAAAATCAAGAGGCATCGTGAAGAATGAGTGCATGGACTGAGGGTACAAAAGCCCAGGGACCTCTGTTGAGCGTCCCTCTGTGCAGACGCCCAGCTTGAGCTGACCTGCTGCTGTACCAGGCTATTACTATTTACTTTTAGAAATCCAGCACCTGAGACTACTAGGGAAGCTCGGGTTGAGCCCGAAGGAGGAGGAAGCATGCCTGGAGTGAGTGTGGGTGAGCGAGCAGCTGGTTGGTGCTCTGAGGCCACCCAGCCTCTCCTGGGCAGAAGCTGCTTTAAAGTACACCAGCTTAGCTCTGCTCCAGGGAGGTGCCATCTCCAATCTGTGTGGCTGGTGTCCCAGTCAGCTTCCAGGTACAAAATGCTCTTTCAGAGGAACAGGCTCAGTTTTTTAAAATACCTTCCTGCCAGCCTGGAGGGTGGATGCATACAAGGCTGATGCCTTTTTAGCTTCCTTACAGCAAACCTCCATCTATCCAAGAATAGTATCTTGTAGGAGCTGCATGGACTCATACAGTTAATATGGTCAATTTTTATTTTCCTGTAGAGCAGCAATGTATTATTTGCTCGAGCTCAGGAACTAGAGACAAGTCTAACAGCAGTAGTGCATCAGGGTTTAAGAAGGGTCCTCACTGGAAAGACAAATCCTCTGTTTTTAAATGTTTGAAACGTAAATGAGTTAATGCATTTTAAATGGTTTTGATTATTTACAAAAGCTTGTTCATCCGAGTTTCGTACAATCGCACTAATTCCTGGGGACCTTCTTGCAATTCCTGCCACCGAGAGGTGAAGATAAGCATTACAAGGAGGCAGTGGTTAGAGAAAGAGAAAGCTACAAGCACAGCAAGCATCACTCATGCTTTTTTCTCAAGAAATATGTCAGGCAGAGCACTTCCTGCTTCATTCACATTTTATTTACTATACATTAATTTATCTAAAATACATAGTAGTAACAGTTCACAGAAGGAGTTACAAGCAAAGGAATGCAATCAGATTTTAAAATGTGATAGCCCTACAGGGTCACTGTGAAGGTGGTAAGCAATAAAGACCATCTTTTCACTCTTTTCAAACACTACTGATTCAAAAGCATGGCTTTTAGTGAGTTGGGGTCCAAATTCTGATCAGTGGGAAAATCCTGCAATTAGGAGTTGGAGCATGAAAATACTGACTGAGGGGAATGCCCAGAGGATGAGGAGGAGAGAAATTATTAGATTCAGCCCTCCCCTATAGCTCTTTTTTTTTTTTTTTTTTTTTTTTTATGAATTCCCAGGGAAAACATTCCTTTTGTTATTCCTAGGTGAACCTATGAGCTTGATCTGGACATTCATATGCAATCAGTCCTTTTTGCACAGACTATCTGTGACTGCCTCTACTAATCCTCAGTCTCTGCATATGAGACTGTTATTGGGAGGGCCCCATATTTGTACTTCTTGTACCCTGCATGTTTGTGTCCATCAGCATGTAGATGCAGAATGGAAGTTCAATGTTTCAAAATACATGGAAATTCTGAGCGGAGGCACCAAGTTCTACAGGATGGGGTGAAAATAAAGCTGCCCAGAGGAGTCTTCTTCATAACTTCTTCATTAATCTGTGAAGTATCAGAAGTTCCTAGGCTTATTTTCCACAGTCTATGGCTGAAGGTAGTATTTATCACTTCCACCAACCTTGTATACAGGCTCCACCAGCCTTTCCACCTCACTTTTTATTCCTGGGAATAAATCTGATTGATTGCAGATATTTGCTGCCTGTGAACTCAAGCAGCAATTTATACCCAACAACCCAGTTACAAAGTTCTAAGTACAGCAGTGCAAATGCTTGGTGATTTGAAGCACATGCAAATTGAAGCAAAGCTGACTGTTCCTGAGAAGCTACTAGCATAAGTCTTGGCATGATCCATATTTAAAGTGGATAATAGGAGATTAAAACTGGAAAGGACCAGTGAATCATTCTAATCACAGACTATGGCAGAATCAGGAGTTATGCACCAAGATAGAAGAAAACACACACAAAACTTTAAGGGAAGAAAATATCACTAGATCCTTTCCAGAAAAAAAAATGTTTGTTCTGAGAGTGAATATTCCACTCAGCAGTGAAATAATTTTTAGATGTAACTGCTAATAAATGCCAAGTGCTTTTCCTGACTAGTGATGGGGTTGTGCTATACTTAGCATGGCTTTGTGCATGTTTGCTTCTCTTTAATTCAGGAAAACTCTTGAGAAGAATCATTATCAGTGCTGTTGACTGGCAAACAAAAGCAAGTTACACTTCCAGGGCTCAAAAAAAGAAGGTAAACAAAAAAACAGCTATTCAGATAAAATGCAAACAAATGCTCTGGAGAGAGAATGTTCCTATAAACAGTCATTATATCATAACTCACAGACTGCAGAATTCGGGAGCAGCTATAAATTGAGCTTAGTGTGGAGTCTGAAATAGCAGCTGCATTTGTAGAACATATGTTTGACTGCAATCACAAGTGATTCACTTACCGCCCATTTCCAGTATAAATAGTACCTCATACTTAAGGATGTTTACTGTGCTTAGCAAGTCTGAGGTACCTCAGGTTCTTCTGTTCCTTCCAAAGCATGGCTTCACTCATGCCTTTGCAGTGGTTGGAAATTTTGCATCTATCTATCTATCTAGAGATATTTTGCATCTCAATATCTGTTAAATGACAGAGATCTGGGGCCAGCTGTTACCTTTTACTGACTTAGCTGCATGATCACAAATAAATGTGTATTCAATTTGTTCATCTTCTGCATAACAGACTGATGGGTTGAAGTACTCCAGGTGAAGATCTGAGTCCAGTTCTCTCCTTTTACACTCCTCTTACTTGCCTTTCACCAAGTAAAATGCAGTAATCATACAACTCTCCCATGGAATATTTTATTTTGCTGAAACAGAATGGAGCAGAACTGATCCCAAGCTCTAAAGGATGTAGGTCAGACCTCCCCCCCCTCCACCCTTCCAGATGAGATCTAAGCCCACTGCTCTTACCTTTGGATAAACTCAAGGTGACAGGAAACAAATTCCTACTGTATTATTTTAGTCATGACATACAAGAGCTCTGGTTACAGATCATTTAAAATCTACTCTCAAGGGTGTGGATTAAAAAGAAATACCATCAACAGTCCCCAAAATCTCTGTTATCATAAATTCAGCAAGGGCATATCTGTTTCAAGTCACAGATTTGATGAAAGAGGATTCATTTTACAGATCATAATCGTATTACCAGCACAGATCATCCCTGTCAATGCCCAGCTGACCAGCCAGCTCATGCTTTGTAATTCAGGACTGGGATGGAAAAGAAAAAAAAAAGAGCTCTTCCTAATGCAACTAAATATAGAACAACATGGTGACTCAAACTGGAATTTGGTCACTACACAACATTTGTCATGTTTAGTAGTTCTGAGGGCTTCAAGCCCAATCAGTGCTTTCTGACAATATGGTCCCATGTATATCATGCTGGTTTAGCACCAGGTCAGACAAAGGGCAGTGGTTTGTAACAACTGCAGAATGTGCATTTTTCCCATGAGCATGCTGATTTGTTTTGTGCATGCAGTCACAGTTTGGGACAGTAGAAATATATTGATCACCCTGTTTTTTTACAAGAAAAAAAGCTTCTTTATGCTTGTTCACAGGTCAGCTTAATGTAACAGAGTAGTTACTCTGGGAAACAAGAACATGAGCATTACTGAGCTTTGCAGCCCTGTGCTAGAAACCTTTGGAAGCACTAAGCCTCTAAATGCAAAACTTAGTTATTGCATTTTCCCTTCTATCTGATTAAAGATACCTGAGAAGGTTCCAGAGGGCCTCTCATGCACTCACAGCAATCTGGTTTGGGAAATACAGTTAAGACACTTTTAAACATAATTAGCCAAGAAAGAACCATCTTGAATGTGGCACAAATGATGTATAGAGACAACATGCAGCTAGTGAGTTATCTTCATTACAGCACAGACCAGGTGTGTAGGGAAGAGTTGACCTCTGGTTTCCCACTGCTTTCCCTCTGGCAAGCTGACACTGAAGCCAAGCAAGTAGGTAAAATTCTTTTAGTGACCTAACTATTTCACAAAGATATTAGACAAAAAAAGGCTCAATGAACCAGGATAGGAAAAATGACCCTCTGTTTTTGCAATGAAAAATATTAGGTGTAACCTGGTGAGAATGTTATCTTTTCAAATGAAATCCATCCTACCCAGACAGCATCCCATGCATTCCAGGCACTGCTGAAGGGAGTTATGTCCAAAAGAGGCTCAAATGTTTAGAAGACATTTGGGGGCCTCTGCCCCAAAATCTGTCCTCCCATTAGAAAGTTTCAGCAGCATCCTCCAGACAAATATTACCATTGTAAGAGAAAGAAAAGGACTAGTTGTCTCGGATGCCTTTGGAATGTAAAAGTAAAGATTTCATCTTCTTGGTTTGTAATAACACCATTCTCTCTTCTATGGCTTCCTTGCCAGTCTCATTATTCCAACACGGTTTCCCTAAAGCACAATAAAGAAGGGGCTTCCACACAGGGTTGAGAAAAAAGCCCAAGCCAGCTTCACAGAAATCCTTTGTTGAACCCAAAGAGATGGGATCCCTTGCTCATTTGCAACTTGTACCGTCCTTTACAGCTGTCTTGAGTGCATGTGGGAAGGCTTCTCCTCCTCAGATCCAAAGCTTCTTGAATGCTCTGCACAGGTGGTACAGCAAGGCATGGCACATGTGCTCCTACGGCTGTCTGCTGCACTGCAGCTCCATGGTATCTTTCACTGCATCCATTCTCCAGATAGATTCCAAACCATGGGTACCGAACTCTCGCATCCCCTGGCAATGCGGGTTAAGGATCACCCATTTTCCAACTGGAAAACGTAGAGATGACAGAAGTTAAGTGATTTTCCCCACAATTGTACAGCAGGGCAGAGGCAGAGGCAGAGACAGAGCCAGTCCTTAATTCAGGCGCTAGACAATATTGCTTCTGTCTGGAATATGGACATATTCTGGAAGGTCGTATTGGTAAGTACATTAAAGGAAAATCATCTCCTTGTTAGTGACTCTTAATCCAGATAAGCATGATTCTGAATTAGGCTGTGTGTTTTAAAGGGAAACACTGAACCTGTGTTATCTCCATGCTAGCACCACAACAGCCATTCCTACTTGTACCGAATTAGGCGAATAATCTTATTATTCATGAAATCTGAAGTATGTGGATGAGCAGAATCTATGCAGAAACCATCACTCATGGCTATTTTCAGCACTTCTTCCACAAACACCTGGAAACTATTGATTTGCTTATTATCTGGCACCACCCAAAGTCTCTTCAAGTTCTGCTTGGTGTACTCCTCTTCGGGAAGGCCTTCCACACTTGCAACCCAATCTAAGGTCAGGTGGTTGGGGTCCTGCAGGTAACTGGATATTGAGGAAAGGTTTCCATTGAAACAGTAGTACAGCTTGGAACCAAGAAGCTTCAGGAACAGGCACGACGTGGAGAAGATATGAGCACTGAAGACTTCCATGTTGGAGGAAGACAGGCTGTAAATCTGGGGTGCTTCTCGGACAGTGAAGTGAACAGTCTGGGTCTTCTGATCAAGGGTGATGTTGAGCATGGCATTTTTCTCTGCTTTAGAAAGCTCTATCTCTTTCTCCTGCAAGGCCTCAATCAGGGGCTGAATTTGATAAAAATCTACTTCCCGTCGCAGTAAGCCCATTTCCTGAAAATCTTCGGGAAGATCCAAGTGAGAAGTTCGTAAAAAGTTCAGGATATAGCGGAAGATTTTGCCATCTCTGTCAATAAAGCAGTTGCCTTGGCTGTCCTTCTTGGTTGGGATCTTCCCACTAAACATGGCCCCCAGCATGGAGTCTGGAAAGCTAGTCAGAGTGGACAGAGAGGTGGTATAGAGTTTTCCTCCAACATTGAGCGTGATAGGTTCTGACATGATGGAAAAGTCACAGTGCTCGGACTAATTCTAAAAAAAAAAATTAAAAAAAATCCAACACCACACATTTAGTTGCATTAATCTTTTTTAAAGGAATAAACAGTACTAAATATATAAGAGTAACCATGTGGCAAGAATTCACCATAGAAATTAGAAGTGAGGAATTATTTTTGGGGTTGTATATTGAGAACAAGCATAAGGATGTTTTTTCTCCTAACAGATTTGAACAGGACGTTGTTTAATTCAGTTTAGTGCCAGAAATCCTGATTCTTTCAAACCTTTACAATTATGCTAAAAGTGAATCTCTCCCACTAATACCTACAATGAGGGCTGACTTCAAAGTAGCATTCTGGGTTTGTATGATAACATTTCCCTCACAGAGAATTGAGAGGGTGCAAAGAAGAAAAGGACAAGAACTTGACACAACCCAACATCTTCCATAGTGTTTGAGGCTACGATTACAGTAACAAAGCAGAATCCCCTGACATATGTCTGAGTGCAGTCAGCATAGCAGGGAGCCAGACAGCAGTTGCTGCCGTAAGCACCCGACAGTCTGTGGTTCCTTTCATTAAAAATAATCACCAGACTTTCTCCTTCCATTGTGCTTTACCCTACAAAACATTTTGTAATTATTTGGGGCCGTATTCCAGTTGACACTGTTTTCATGCCGAGCCTCTGCCATCAGCTGACATGAACTAAGGATGTGATTTTAAGGTGCACTTGAGCCATAGGAAGAGGCATGCATGACCTCCCCTTGCCCTCCACCATACTATCGTCCTCCCTTACGCCACCTCTGGCACTTATCTGATCCCATAGTGAGTCAGTTTAGGGAGAAAAAACAACATTTTCTATTCAGCATGCTTTGCTGTATGTTGGAACTGGACCAATGCCAGGGCTGGGGCAAGGGAAAAGAAAGGAGCTGTGCAGCTGTCTCCATTGCAGTTCAGCTCAGCTGTCTTGTACAGGTGGCTCATTATTCCTGCTACCTGAGGACCTGCAAACCTGTTTTTCCTTGTTTGCCGAATCTAAATTAATCAACAGTTCAGCAGGAAACCCACAGTGTTTGCTTACAGAGGCAGGAGGTAGCTCTTGCTGTAGTAACTAAGGCCATTCAACAGAAAGCTGCCAAACAACTCCCTTAAAATTGAACTTAAGTGCAGGCATTTTCCTAACTAGTAATGGAATAATCATAGACACTACCCACTATTATCAGCACTGGAGTCACAGCAAAATACAGATAGGAAGAAGATCATTTGTGCTGGAATAGCAATTCTTTCATGGCTGCTAAAACCCAGATAGTATTGCAAATGGCATTCTAAAAGAAATACATCTCTAGACAGCAGCACATTTTGCTGAGAAAAGCTGGCCCAACCTAGGGCAGATAATTAACAGGTCAAAGTAGAGCCTATCTTTAACTTGTTAAGACTATCATTCCACTTTGTTCTTTAGCTCTTGGCACACAGCCTATATCTCACTGGGCAGTAATAGATAGATGCAGATCTCTAAATCTAGAGTGCTTTCCCTGTGTATCCTTCAGTCCCATGCATCCAGCAAAACTGGCAAATAAAAATGCATGTGTAGGTCAACACAACAACACATGCATTGATGACCACAGACCATCCTTGTGACTAACCTCAGCCAAATATACTCCAGAAAAAACCCTATCTGTTCCAGTGCTAAACTCCCCTTGGCACTGTAGTCTCAGCAGACTTCCCACTCTTGAAGACTTAAACCCACTTTAGTGTCAAGAGCTGTTTAAACCTGATCACGTGGAGACTTCACTGATCTAATTCTGTTGCATGAGTGGCTGCCATGGATTGTTCCCCGAAGGACTTGCAAAATGTCTGCAAAAGCATTGCTACAAGAACAACCAGGCATTCACAAGAGCAGCCTAAAATGGATTTTACTTTTTTTCATATTTCATCAAACAGAAGCTTCCCCGTACCACCCTACAAATAACAGCCTGTAGAAGCAGGACTGATAGTGACTCTCAAAGCCATGTTCATTGCTTCCCACCTCTGCTGCCCTTCAAGCTGCTGTAGACTAAACAACCCGTTCTTCCTTCATAGGTGAAGCTTTCAGATTTTTAAGCCCATGCCTGCTTATTTACACCACAAGAGTTTTTCCTCAAGCTGTCTGCCAGACTTAGTCAAACACAGAGCAAGGTGTTTCCCTTGATGCGTCTGTGACAGATGGCAGAGCTCGTGGTCAAAAGTCACAACACAAAGACTACCATGCAGCCCAAAGACAGATCTTCATTTCAAGCTCATCATCCGTCCCAGGTGTACTCTGATCCAACATCTCACTGATAGCCTGAATGAGAGGGGAACGACTCAGTCCAACCTGAACAGATAACATTTAAATCTCCTGTAACTGTTTTCTTATCAGCAGTCCAAAAGGGATGTTGCCAACAAAATATAGCAGTAACGTGGCAACAGCATCAGAAATCAAGCCAAACCTTAGCTCTGGAGCTGGAAGAGTAGCACAGAGATTGGGAGCCTCTCAGTGTGTGGGCCCTGCTCCTCTTCCACCTCTGGGCATTCTGCTTACGGCTATTCGGCATTCTAAAGACCCATACAGACTGGATTTCCCTCTCCCAGGGCACCAGCCTGCTCTGATTTTGAACCTGCCCATGATTCCTGCACTAGATTAAATTTTAAACATTTAACAAGGCAAACATCTTGCCCATGGATAAGGCTGGAGGATAACTATTCCTCAGCTGTCATTCCTAATTGTCTTCTTTTAGCCTAATTCATCCCATTTCTTAGAGGTTTATATCCTCAGAGTGTGAAGATGAATCAGATAGTCTGGGAACCTCAGGAGAGCCCAAAACGTGAGCACAAATGAGCACGAATGTCTACTGGATTTATAATCAACCTGGACTTAGTGCATTGACCAACCAACATATTTGGGAGTAGCTGGGGAAAGTCAGTCTTTACTGCTTTTTTCCCTAAACACTTGTTTATGAAAAACTGTTTTTCATAAACCTGTAAAAGCTGAAATAAAATGGGTTGTAAGTTTTATCTCTTTAATCATTCAACCACCATTTGCAGCCCCCAGCATGGTTTTTCAAGTGCTGGGTGCTTTGCTAATACAATGTAAAGGTTGTCCAAAAATGCAGCATGAAAATCACTTCTTCTTGGTGAGACTTCCACAAAGAGGAGGTACCAAGAGCAAGCATCTGATCTTGGACACGGGAGGCTACTGGTCTAGTGGAAGGTGTCCCTGACCACGGGCGGGTGGGATGGAACTAAATGATCTTTTAAGGTCCCTTCCAACCCAAACCATTTTATGATTGTATGATTCTATAACCTGCTGTCACCAAGGAGAAGTACAAACTGAGTTACGGTTCTTGGAAGCAGAGAATTACAGTAAAGTATTTTGTGTAGCTCCTCCCCAAGCAGCATTTGAAATTCATTCAAATTAGGTCAGCTAGAGATCTAATTTGACAGCTGAAGATGCAAACTTGGCTGAAGAACACAAGATTTATTTTGTGCTTCTAAGAGCAACCTGCATTTAAATACCTCTTTTAATATCATGGAGGGGGGGAAAGTCTACATTTGATTCAAAGTCATGATCTTACTGCATGATGTAAATTGAGAGAAACCAACAGCACATGGTCAGCTTTATGAAAAAGTCAAACTCCTGAACCGAAGCTGTCTCAGCATCTAAGCATTTCAATTGACCACAGCTTGTAAATTTCAACTTGGGTTTTACTCTCAGGAGCATCCTCAACAGCTGCATAGAGAACATTTCTGCAACAACCCTCTACCCGTGAGCTTAGTTCTGCAAAGAACTGGGAGAATGATGGGGGTTGACACAGCAGGAAGGTAAGCAAGTATGCAAAATGACAAAAGCGAACTGTTTTCACTGATCAATGCCCTCAAGTATGTAGAACCATTATCATCATACCACTTTGTTTCATAATAATTTTGAATGTGGAACAGCTTTGGATAAGCTTATAAGCTTTTTTCCTCCCTCTCCTATATTCATAACATTTAAAAGCACTTTAATTAGCTAATAAATAAAATTCTGTACACATAATTTAACTGAGTGCCTGTTTCACCCAATCTGGCAAAAACCCACAAGTGTACAGTAATCATCAAGACAAAAAGAACCCCATCAGCCATGATTTGCCAATGTAAGTAAAATGTAAACAAATGGCACAAATATTACTATGTTTTTAACCACTGAAAACTACATACAACTGTAACCTATCCTTTTTAGCAAAAAGAATGCAGTTTAATAGAAAATCTAAAGTTATAGATATGTTTATATGGTTGTCAAAAGATAGCCATAGCTCTCTCTATATATACATATATACATACATACAGATATAGATATAGATATAGATAGATAATTTTAAACAGGATTTTAATTGGGAAAAGAAATTGATTGCCAACACGCATTTCACTTTAAAAATGTCAGGGAAGGAAAATTAATCAATCCTTCTGGATTTCACAGGCAATGCCCAAGATCTGGATAATCGGCTGATCCTAGTATCATTCAGGGGATTTAATTGATGAGATTAATTAAACACAGAACTGCAAAGCAAGAACAATCGGTAATTTGGTTGAAGAGGATCATGTTGAGTTGTTAAGGTTTTTAAAGTCCATCTTACAGGCTGCTTAGGGCCTCTGAAGCCCTTACATGTGGTATTAAAAGCATTAATTATTTTTTTTTTAAAGCATTAAAATTGAGGCATCTCCTGAAACACAAGTTAACATATGCTGTTACAGAAATAGAGTTTTTGCTGCAAGATTACAAAGTCACTGTTTTTAATGGTTTTAATTTCATGGAATGACACAATTATAGAATGGCCTGTGTTGGAAGGGACCCTAAAGATCATCTCGTTCCAACCCACACCCCATGGGCAGGGACACCTTTCAGTAGATGTGGCTGCTCAAAGTCCTATCCAACCTGGCCTTAAGCACTTCCAGGGATGGGACAGCCACAGATTCTCTGTGTAGCCTGCACCAGTGCCTCCTAACCTTATGTCTAAAGTATTGCATGGCTGGTTAATTTTATCATGTAGCCTTCAATAGCTCACCTGTGAAATATCCCTCGACAATCAAAACTTGAAAAATCTGTATTTAAGACACTGAAATATGTGCAGCTGCTGTAAGAAGTAGTTGAGGACTAACAATGAACCGCAAAATACACACACAGGAAAAAGAAAGGAAAAATAAAAAAAAAAAAGAAATTAATTATTTAGTCTGATGCAATGAATGATGCCTAAATGGCAACAGAATTAAAGCAAGCCAGGGACCATTTCTGCTAAGCATCAGGAAGAGCAGCCAGACTAAAAACCTCTCTGGCTTTTTGAGTATTGCCAAGAGAGCTGGTGAAAGCCACATCATGTAGACAAATGTTACAGGAGACAGATCAGGTAGTGCTTTATAGGAAGTAATTCTGTCTTAGGAGGGGGCAGGATTGATTTCACCTCAGAAAGAAGTATGAAAAAAGAAAGAGCTGAGCACCTGTTTGGCTGCTGGAGACTTTAAATGGGATTCAGAAAAAGATGGCTGTTGCTGGGGCTCCAGTCTGCTCCATTAGAGCTATTAACTGTGAGCACACAATCAGGGAAACATGCTCCTTCCTGTGTGAAGCTCCTTCTGCTTTGGGTTTTGCCCACACCTGGCATGTAGCACTTCGCTCCACTGTGTCTTACTGAAATTCACATTTTGGTTTGTGGCAAAAGTTCCAGTTTCTACAAAACACCTGAGCCCTGAGAAAGCAAGCAAACAAACAAGCAAACATACAAACCCTCATAAAGTTGAGAACTCCAGACCTGGACACAGCCAAGCCCATGGCACTTGCTGCAACTCTACCTGCAGAACAGTTCTGTGCCTTGTGCCTTCTCAAGGGGACAACCTCGTGGAGGAAATCCAAACCCTACAAGCTCGTGCCTCTCTGTGCTATGGGGGCTGCAAACAAAACACTTTGAAGCCTAGAAGTCACCTCTTGAAAGACAAGATAAAAATAATAATAAACTAACTAAAGGGGGAGGGCAGAAACAACCAAAAAACAGTATTTAAGGGTTAAAAAAATCCCCAACAAATCACACCTCAACTAACCACTTACCCAGCTTTCAGCAGACAGTAGGCACCAATGAGAGTTGAGTTTTAGGAAGAATTTTGGACAAAATCCTTTGCAAGGATAGAATCATCCCTCCCTTCATATATCCCTGATGCACATTTACTTAGCTCATCTCATCCTTTACGATCGAAGGTTAAATATTTGCAATACAGTCTCTGCACCCTATATGCTTATTTATGACAGCCTTAGAGAGGAAATCCCATGTTTTCCCATCGCTGCAGAACGGACCCACCTGATTTTGGACACTTAATATGAACCCCTCCAAGTGAGCAGCACGTAAGAGGCTTAAATTCAGTCCGTGAAGCAGAGCATGGCGTGTCTGCCAGCAGCAATAGATCCCGAAATGAAGCGCCTGCGGGGCGGCACAGCAGCTTTTTCTTTCGAAACTACTGGGGTGCCTCTGGAAATTTCCAGCAGGCGTCTGGGGAAAGGCCGCTCACCCCGAGGCTGGCACGGGGGACGTGGCGACAAGCGCTGGGAGGGGACTCAAATTCCCGGCAGGCGTGAGGCAGGAAGCGACGGCTCACCCTTCCTTTCTCTCCTTGCGACAGAACTGCTATCGATCTGCCGGCGGCGGCAGTGCTGGGAGACAGGCATACTGACTATCCACCTTCGGAGCGCAGCTGCTTACCAGTTATTTATATTTAATTTATATTTCATTTTCTGGCCCTGCTTTGTTATGCACAGAAACGCCGTTCTGCCAGTGAGCCGCAGGAGGGATGGGGAAGCGGGAACGGGAGTTTCGTAACAGCCCTGGTGTGCTGTGGGTACCATGGTGTGTGCTCATCCCTTTCCAAACCCGCACCTCCATGCCCTTGAGCATCTCCCGGGCTGCTTGCTCAGGGATGCAGCTGGATGCAGAAGGCTTCGCGTAGGCTCTCTGCAGATGCTGAATTCACGCATGGAGAGAAGGGGTAGGGAGGCGGAGGTAGGGAAATAAAGCTGGCGCCCAGCTAGTAAAAACAAGGAGCGATATAAAGCAAAGGTCAGGTTCCTCCTGAGAGAAGAGGAACAAAAGCAGCAGCGCACAGCAGGGAGCAGGAGAGCGAAAAGAAGGTTAAGTGCTGCCGAAGGAGAACGGCTGACGACAAGATGGAGGGGGAGAGGGAGTGCAGAGCCACAGGGATGCGGCTCCAGCCAGGTCTGGAGAATAAAAGCCCAAGTGCTGCAGTGCTCAGCTCTCTCCTGGTGACCTTCAACATTTCTAGGCTCAGGGACTGCTGGGTGGGCAGTGCAGATGGCCGGGAGGGCACTGCCACCGCCTGCCAGACAGGAGCCTGCTTGGGGTCTCAGAGCAGTGGGAGTACCACTTTTCCCCCCAAGCTGATGGAACCCTTTGTGCATTCCAGTATAATTTATCAGTTCTGGCAGAGGTTTTCACTGATTTTCAATGTCCTCTCCCAGCACCCATTTAAGTATCACTTGGCATGCCTGGAATATCTTCCAGATACTCTTTATTTCCTTCATGGACCACTTTATTTTGTCCCTGAACAACTTCATGGCACACGTGGTAGCCACCACCTGCTCGATGGACACACGGAGTGGTTCAATACCCAGTTTCCACCTCATCTCCACTGACACCATTGTTTCCAGAACATCCCTGCAATTAGAGGGCGGCTAATTCCCAGAACGGATGCTGCCGCACCAGAGCAAAACCCACTCAGAAATCACGCTAACAAGGTAGGCTTCACCCAAAATTACACCCTCTGGAGGGCATATATCACACCCAACACCCAGCTGGACCCAGCTGGCTGCATGTCCCAGGTGTGGGCATACAAGGCTTGGATTCGCTGTGAATACTTTAATTTCGGAGATGTTTCATTGAAAGGGGGCAGGGGAATGTGCAAAGTTTGCAGAGCGGCGCTGAACCCGACCCTGTTAGGGACAGTTGGAGGTACGGCTCCTCCCTGCATAGCCAGGCGCCCACAATACTGAATTAGCTCAAAATGCTAAAAAGCCCCCAAATTCCCCGTCAGAAGGGGCTCGCCCGTCCTTCCCGCATCCCACAGCGGACCAGCCGCGCGGCTCCCGACAGCCGGTCCCCGCTTCCTCCCCGTGCCTCAGTTTCCTCCCTCTCGGGGAATTCCGCTGGGGGTGCCCTCGGCCCTCCCCAGGCCCCCCAGCCGGGCAGATCCCCCCCAGCCCCGCCGGGGACCGACCTGCGCCCCCTCCAGCCGCCGAGCTCCGCCGCTGGCCGGGCGGCGCAGGGAGGCGGAGGAAGCGGGGGGCGCGGCGCTCCCGCACGGCCCGGCACGGCTCGGCCCGGCCCGCTGGGAGATGTAGTTTCGCCGCCGCCCTCGGCCCTGCCCAGTGCTGCCCCGGGACTGCGGCTCGTAGCCGGCCTCGGCGCATCCCGGCCCCGGCCGGAGGTAACGCGGGGCGGGCGGAAGGGAAAGGGGTGCAGGAGCGGGGCGGTCGGGGGTTTTGTGATCGCAGGGAAGGGGGGGGTCGAATGCTCGGGAAGTGGTGCAGTAGCGGAGGTCTGGGCTAGGGATGTAGGAGGGATGCTCAGGGGAAGGGATGCAGCGGGAGGAGTCGGGGAAAGAGGTGCGGGAGGGATGCTCGGCGTGAGAGATGCAGGAAGGATACTCCGTTGAGAGGTAGGGGAGGTGTGCTTGGGGTGAGGAATAGTCAGAAGGGATACTCGGGGTGAAGGGTGTAGGAGGGGGGCTGAGGAGAAGGGATGCAGAAGGAGTAGTTGAGAAAAGGAGTCCTGGAGGGATACTCGGTATAAGGGATACAGAAGTGCTCGGGGTAAGAGGTACAGGAGGAGTGCTTGGGGTGATGAATGCTCGGGGTGAGGGATTCAGGAGGAATACTCAGTGAGAAGTGTATAGGAAGGGTGCTCAGGGGAAGAGATGCAGGAAGGGTAGTCAGGGAAAGGGATGCTTGGGGCGTTGGGATGCATGAAATGAGGGATGCTCTGGGTGAGGGATGAGGTGGGCTGCTCAAGGGAAGCAGTGCAGTCGGGGTACTGGTGGAAAGTGTTGCAGAAGGGATGCTTAAAGGCAAGAATGCTTGGCAGTCAGGATACAGAAGGTTTTTAGGGGTCAGGATGCAGGAAGGAGCTGAAGTAAGGGCTGTTTGAGGGTTAGGAGAGAGTAGGTGTTCTCAGGAACTGGGATGCTCCAAGGGAGGGATACTCAGGATAAAGGGTAGGGGTGCTTGGGAGGGATACTTAGAGGAATGCTTTGGGGTTGCAAATGTAGCAGAGGGCTTGGAAGGAGGTTCAGGAGAGATGGTTGGGGTGAGAACTACTGAAAAGGCTGAGATGCAGGAAGGATGCTCAGGGGAGGGATCCTTGTAGGGAGGAGTTTGGGAGAAAGGGCTGGGTTTTGGGATTCCCAGACAGATACTTGGACAGAGGTATGCTCTGTGTTCAGGGTGCAGAAGGGAATGGTGGAGGAGGGGTGCTTGAGCATTTGGCTTTTTGGGAATCAGGCTATAGGTGAATGCTTGGAGGGAGAAATACAGGAGCAACATCGGAAAGTGGGGGTGTGTGCATTCCTCCACTCCCTGCAGGGCTTTGCAAACCTGTTTACAAGGCAGCATCTTGTTATAACAAACTGGCCAAGACAGATTCAGGTTTTCCCCAGGGAAGCTGACCTGGGGAAAGACGCCTTGGGATGTTCCCATGTGATAGGGAGCCAAAGACTCTAAAAGTGAGGGTCAAATTCAGATTAGCTGAGACCCAATCCAATTTCAGGTTAGATCTGCTCCAGTTGGACCTTGCAGGTGTTACTGAAGAATGAAAGCAGATGTTGGAATATTTGCACTGCTATGATGTTTTCATAGCACTTTGGGAGCTCAGCTAGACCATGCTGCATCTGGTGGCAGGGAAATTTCAACAGCATGCCCTACCTAGACTGAAAGGATGCAACTGAGCTTTCACCTGAGAAGGGGTCTCAAAATGCTTTGGGCACCTTTGTGATGGAGTCCATAAAGTTTATCATGGTCTCACTGTGCATTCCTGCTTTCTGAATTGGCAGATGCAAAGCCAAATATATTTGGGGTTGGAGGGAAACTGAGGTCTCAAATGGGCATCATTGCCTATTTTTCCTTTCCTGAAGGCACCACCAAAAATTGGAGATCTCTGTCTCCAAGCAGTGAATCAGTGTCTGATGAATCCCAGGCAGCGTTGGCAGTATCCGCCCTCAGTCTGGTATGCTTTGGTGAACAGGACGTGGTTTTTCCTTGGGTTATATCCAGGGTTTTAATTTCTATACAGAGACAAAAGCAGACAGAAACCTGAAGAAAGAAGAGTGATTTTAATGCTATAAATACCTTCAGGAAAACAGCCAGCTTTCCGGAGTAGATGTATTTACCATCTCCAGGGACATTGATAAAGAGGACCTTGGCCTGAAGGTCAGTGCAGGATCTGGGCACTCCCAGCATAAAGCCTTTTGGAAGTAGGGTGTCACAGCCTGGGCTAAGAGCTCTAGCTAAGCAGGAAAGCAGAAGTCGTTTGGGGAAAGAAAAGGAAGATACCTTCAACTGGAGAATGTGAGGAGGAAAACTTGGAAAAACTTACCTATTGTAGGCAGAACAGAGCTTTTGGGCATCCAATGGCAAATAAATTCAGAGAGATCAAAAGCAGCTGTGGTGGGTTATTTTTGTGTGGAGTTGGTGCTGGGCTTACCCACAGAACCAGTGGTGTGTCACTGCTGGTCTGGTGGTTTGAGCAAGCCTTGTCTCATGACCCTTTCTCTCATGCTGGTTTTCAAGGGAGAGAGGAACTTAATTCCTTGTGTCTTGCTTCCTGTATCCGTACCAGGATGGTTGATAATAAGCTAGTGATGGTTCTGAGATGCTTTATTGGAAAAGGATACCAGTCGATACTAGAGATGTGTGTTTGTGGTTGTTGACTGAAGGGAAGGAATGGAGCTGGGAGGAGCAGTCTGCACAAAGAGAGGATGAAATGTTAGAGCCATAGGCTTTATTTGGTGGTGCACTGATTGCTTTGACATCCAGCCAAAGCCTTTTTTTTTATTTGGTGACTGAGTACCAAACAGCAAAAAAAAACAGAGCAAGAGAAGAAACTTGGGGATCTGTGTGCACCAAAGGGATCAAAGAAGGAGCACTGAAGAAATAAGAGAGCAGGGTAGGGTAGGTAAGACAGATGGGTTGAGATAGGGCAGCCTGCCCAGCACTGTTGTCAGTTGGAGAGGGCTGATAGAATTTTATAATGTGGTCAAACATATTTATGATGTTTTAGAGGAAAAAAAGAACCATGAAATACATGGTACTGTAGAAAAAAGGAAAAGGGTCTGCAGTGATCTGTGGGTCTAAAGTATCAACAATTTTTTTAAAAGGTAGGGACTACTATATGATAAATTTAGGCTGATTGCAAATAGGTATCTTCTGGTTGGTTATGTTTTTGAGACCTTTAAAAGAGCCTGGCCACAAGAGAGGAACTCATTGTTCCCAAGGTGGAGCAAAGCCATGCAAAATG